TGTCCCTCGCTTTTCATTGATGAAAGACGAGTAACAATCCTAGATGGTTTTACGCGTACTTTCTTCATACATCTCAAAAAGAAGTAACGTTTTGAAATGAAATGTTTTGAAAAGGAAGATCTCCGAAATATGTTTGACGACTGAAGTGCTTGTCAAAAAAAGCGGTTTGGTGCAAGTATATTGAAATTCTATTCTCATTCAGCACGCTTTCCTACTTGTATTTTATCTTTTACTTCATGCTCACATGCTTCATTCTGCTTCACATTCTCAAAAGTAATTAATGCTAAAATCTTAAGCAGCAGTTTACATACTAGTATGTTATGTCGCATTACATTTGAAAGTGCATAACATATGGCTGGTACACAGAATAGTCCGATATATGTTATGCTCATCCAAGTGCTTACTGCTTCAATTCGGGTGCCCCTTTACTGAACACTTTACCGCGAGAAAGCCGCGTTACGTCTTAACAGTAAGCTTTAGCTGTTGGCCAGGTTCCATTTGGAAATATATGGGGAAAAAATAAGAAAACAAGGTGAAAAAAGGCGCTAAACATGGAACTGATAATACTGTTTGACATATGGCGAGCTATCATAGTTCCGCTACGCGAAAGTGCTGCAATTTTTCCGCGGCGCGACTGCGAGCCTCAGGCCACCATCCAAGAATTACTCCAAAATGAAACGACCTTATATTAACATCGTTTTTCCTGTTATTCTTTTCAAAATGACACTTCGAAAAGAAACTCTTAATCGCTCACGAATATCCTTCGGCTCGCCTGAAAAAGGCGTTGTTCAGATTTGTTAATCGCAGTTTTTATTCAAAATTTTCCATTTTGTTCCAAACTCTTATTAGAAACTCTTCTGATACGCGAGAGCCCCTCTAGTTTGTGATTCAGAACACCTAATATTTCTTACTTGTGTTGGATCGTTTGAGAAGTGTTTCTTGCTCGCTTTCTTGCGCTATCTTACTTACATTTTTCACCTGAAGATTCCTCCTAAACGTTTCCAGTTTTATTGATAAGGATATGCCAAGTCAAATGTTCAACAGTGTTTAACGCCTTTCTGAGGTTTATTTCTCTGCGTGGAAAATTCCGCAAAACTTGTCCTGCTTCAAAAGCCTAAGTAATCTTTTACGACTGCGGTTAAGATCAGCACGCAAAGGCGGCAAGCGTTAGTTTTGAAATTTTAAACTTTTTCGGCTCCTGACTATGAACGAAAAATCTAGCGAAGGCGCATCCAAAATTTTCACCATGGGAGTGTTTAAAAGAATTTGATTAAAGAAAGCTAAAGGCATTTTTTTCGCTTCAAGTTTTCTCAATCTTTTACTGGAATATTACTTTGTAAATTTGATCTTGCTCAGCAAAGACCATATGCGCTCTTTTTGTGGTAAGCTAGTGAACTAGATAATGTAATCTCATATCCAGCCTGTTTCTTTCACTTTCGCCTCTATCATGCTCATTAAAATCTATCTTCTGAGGGGAATTATGGAGTGAAAGTTGAACAGGGCTAGTCAAGTAAGCAAAGAATGTATGAAAAGCAAGAAGAATGCTAGAAATTTGGGCTAGTGAGACTGTTTTTTTAGGCTCATAGAATTCTATAAAGTAAAGGTTGAAATAAAAACTAGCAAAACGGTTCGCCTTCAATAACTTATTTTTTCATCTTTTATTTTTTCCAGTCGCAACGTAAAATTTACCCTATGGCGATGAAAACCTGGAAGACGAAGTCGTACGATTTTTCTTTGGGCTTTTTCACATGCTTTGCCATGGTGATCATGTGTCAACTACCAGCGGTAATATTTGCATAATCCCAATCTTTTCTTCTGTTTCTGAATGATAAT